AATATTACTATTTATGTAAGACCCACTTGTAATATCTGAGATGAAATCCTCCCCCTCGCCCCCCAAAAAAAATTCTTCCTTTCCCACATCAACCCTTGTAATTGGAGTTTGAGCAACTACTAATAAGAGCTTGCTTATCTATTAATATAAAAAATCTTAACTGAATTCTAACCCTGCAATTGCAAAATTAAAGGTCAACTTCCGATCCACTAAAAAATTACCCTAACCCAAAATCGATTAAAAATTTCGAGTTACATGCTCGGTTGCTGCAATGCAAAATCCATACCTCTTTCTTCAGCTACGTTTTCAAACAGTTTCTTAATTAATTTATTTTTGCTTCACTAATTTTCATGCTGATCGATGATGGATGATGTTGTTCCACTTGAAACCAAACGTGATGCTCCGCATGTTGATTTTATATAGTAAAGGCTATATGGTTACGATGTTATGGTTAGCAACTTCAATAGTTATGTTCGATTCTCGGCAAAATGGAAAGACATCAACAACGAATTGAATATCAAAATTTTGTTATTGAGGATTTAGGAAGCCAGAAGCCGCACTTCTTAAGTTAAAAAGCAAGTTTTCTAATTGAAAAAACATAAAATTTTAATAAATTTTGACGGACAATTTTTTTAAGCTATTTGGTGCATGCAGTTTTGTTTATGGCAATTTTTTTGAAGTTATTCATAACATGAAAAAGTATACTATAATTTAAATTATATTAAATTATATTATACTAATTGTTAAATAACTAATAATTTAAGTAACTCAGTAATAATATATATTTAAGTAGAAAAATTCTGAATTTAAGTATACTGAATGTTTTTATGTCTTTTCTATTTTGCAATGCATGCTATATCTATTAGCTTATTACAAACTATTACTCTCAATGGATCATTTGTATTTACTTATTAAATGATAGGTTATATCAGTAAAAAGATAGAACATAAAATTACTGTTTACACCCATTTTTGCAAAATAGTATAATGATGCCACGTGTCATCCATGTTGGCAAATATTTCATTGGTTGAAAGTTGTTGGAGTAAATCTCTCTGGATAAGGTTGAGTGGTTATTTCCACAACTGCAGCAAGGTTGTTGGTTTGTTGCGAATTTCCAGGAGAATAATTGGCAGAATCAACAGAATAATCAGTTTGTTTCAGATTTCATGCTGCCGTTGATTGTTAAGTTGCTGCCACAGATTTCTAAGCATGTTGCCAAGGGTGTTTACTGCTATAAAGATTCAAAGAAGAAATGAAGCGAAGGAGGCCAGCCTCTCACACAATTAGCCCAGCGCTATCTACATTTTAATTTTACAAGCAATGTCTTAGTTTAGATCCAGTTTCCTTAAACAACTTTCCTAATTTAGTCTTTAGCTCTATGCCGCCATTAGTTTCAACTCTGATTTGTTATTTTGTTTTGAACATCTCCATTGATGTATTTAGTTTCCTGCAATTCAATTTACTGCACTTTGCCCCAAATTCATCTTTCTAGCTTCTTTTAAGTTTAGTTTTATGCTTCAGCTTCTATTTCGTTTTCTACGTTTTCATACTTTTGC